CGAACAATACATTTTATTTGTAGTTGAAGGCATAAGATTGTGTTCAAAATATTTAGATTTCGTCATTAAATAATCCACAGACGTTGATATGCCGCTAAACAAAATTAACCGGCACTGTGATCTCCTGGGATAGTTATCAGCATCGAACAGAATTAATAAAAGAAGGGGTGGTACGTAATGAACATTTTGGGGATAAAGAGGATAGATAATGATTGACTCTTAGCTTGGAGTGGTTAATACGTCAGTGTTTAGGGAAGTATCCCCACGGGAGTCTGTTCCGCAAAATATAAATTCTGAATGGAACTTCTTAAATTTGGAACACAACACGGAAGCTTAGGTATCTCTTAGGGAGAATCCAGTACATATTGGGGTCATCACATATCAACTCCTCTGAAGTTAGATGTTCCTGATCGACATTAAACTCATTTAAGAATGCAGGTATTCCCTGGTGTGAGTCGCATACTACATGGGTTTTTAGGTATAGAGATATACATACGGATGTTAGTCTGGCGACATTTACCTACTGGTGTATAAGAAAATGTGAAATATGTGTGTTTACAGTGTCAGATTAATTATTGTTTTGAACTGGCAGAAAATTTAATACCTAGAAAGAAGTGTTACCATATGGGTGTGGAATGGAAGCGACAGGGATATGACCTGGGAGTCAAGGGGATGACAGCTAGAAAATGTTAGGGAACCATTGGTATAATTAATATTGTATTGGTCTCACAGACAATAGTGAATTTTATTCTTACTGGAAACTGACTTTATAAATATAGACTTAAGGTTATATAACTTTGTTAGCTTATATAATAATATATGCTTTATTGTTTTGTCTTTCTGTTTACGTTTTATTGCTTGAATTATGTTTGTTGATTGGAATTTGTCGATATTGGGTTCTGGGTGAAAATAAAATGTATTTAGTGTCAGGATTTAGTCACTGGTTCATAATTTATAGTTTTTCTTTATGTGTCATACCTCTTCAGGACAAGGATAACGATGACCTCCACAGCTTCCTTTCTTTTTCTTATTCTCAGCAACATTTATTTACGGCTCTGCTTTGTTTGTTAGTTGTCTCTCCACAATTATTCAGAATGGGTTTATGAAAAATGGCGCTACAAAATCACAAACGAAGTCAATTAATAAACAACATAACCACATCATTTGAACACTTCCATTGGCAACAAGAAGAAGATGGCATGGTTAGGCGGAATTAACAGAATTCTCAATAACAAGACGAAAAGGAAAAAGAAGAACAGGGTAAAATAATACAAGACAAGAAAATGTAACACAAAGCAACTATAAAACAATGACAAAGTAAGAATTTCACAAAATCGAAATAGTGTTCACATGCAGAAGGGATACAGACGAGTGGTTATAGCGATCTGACTTCCAGGAAAGAAAGAAAAAAGGTCAGTAAGATCGAGAATTGTCCATTTTTATTGGCGAGGAAGATTTCCCAGAATGCATCTAAAGAATTTGCCTATAAATTTGGGAATGGTGAATCTTTAGTTAGCCATTGTAACCAACAACAAAAATAGGTAGCAAATGGCAGTCGGACTTATCATCTTTTTATCCGTGGCAATCGAACTTATTATTTTATTATCCGTCGTTATAACTGATAGAATAGTTATAATTATATAATTTAGCTGTTATGGTCACGTGGCCAAGTGCTTAGAACGTTCGCTTTCTGACTATGAGACCGGGGTTCGAATCTCATCATGGCTAATTTGTGACTTCTTAGGAGCGATCTCAGGCTGCTGCACCATTGGAAAATGCCTGAAAACCACGCCACGGGTTGATCCAAGCCCTGTGAGCGAAAATGGGTAGACGGGACTATTTGGAAGCCGTCGATATCAGAAGTCATCATTTGAGCGTGCTGGCCTTGTTCAAACTGTTGGTAGATAATGCTCTTTCTTCAGAATTTCTGTTGGGACGCATCAGACATCCGAACTTAACCCTAGCCTTCCTCCTTATGTGAGGCATTGTTTGGGGGCACGACTCTGGAGATCAGCATATTATACTTCAATTCATACCAAACTGGAGTCCTGGTTTGTAATATAGGTGAGAAGATTGTAAAACGATCTCTCTGTTTTACATTGTTAATACAATTTGAATATTTTAGATTTCAAAATACACCTGTCGTCAGACTGTTAAGAGAGTAGAAGGAATTTAATGCCAGTTTCTCAGTTACCAAAAGAGTAAATATCATGAAATTCGACACACCTTTGGACATAAACATTAGCTACTAATGGCACCATTCAAACAGGTGATTTACTAGCAAGTATATTGCGATTTCTTTGTATTGGAGCGTGTGTCGAGATTGGCCAAGCAAAATAGATCTTTTCATGTAAACATAGCTCTTGCCATTTCTGATCTTTGAACAAACGAAACTTTGGCAAGTTCATCTCTCACGTCCTATGCAGTTAGTTTATTCGCGTTGCGGTGGTACTGTTATTTAATTAATATACTTTTTTATTCTGTTCCAAAATTGACAATGGTAAGAATAACCGTTTCCATACAGGAAACATTCGCCATTCATTGACCGGTTGAAATTTATAAAATAACTTTCTCTTAAACAGTTTGGCAGGAAAATAGCTTGGTTGGTTGTTTTTATTTGGCGGCATATCAAAACCTCTATGGGTTATTTAATGCCAAAATCTAAATATTCTGTACATAATTTTACGCTTTCAACTACAGATATTTTATACATAGTTTTTATACTTCCAGAGTAAAAGGTATGTTTTTAGATATATATATGGTAAATCATAAAATGTATCGTTGGTAATTTTACTATAAAAATGTATGTTTTTAGTGTGGCATTGATTGCCGTTTTGCTATAAAAATTTATTGTTGCTCATTTTATTATAAAAATGTACTGTTGATTTTTTTGTTAGGGCGGTTCACTATTTGCACATTAGCGACATATTAACCCCCACGGGTTATTTAATGCCGAAATCTAAATATTTTGAACACAATTTTATCAACTGAATATATTTTGAACGCAATTGTATGTCTTCTTCAACAACAGATGCATTGTGGGTAATTCTACTATAAGATGTATTGCTGGTCATTTTGCTTTAAAATGTATTGTTGGTGATTTTTTAATATAAAGTTGTATTGCTAGTATTTTTTCTATAAAAATGCTACCACCACAGGTCAGGGTAGAGCTAGGAACAACAGCAATTAAGAGGTGGTTCCATGCGCCTCAAATCGATCAGGGTTGATGCCGGATGTAGTTTATCATCATACCCAGGACTAAGACCTGGATTCTCATATGGATGGCATCCAACCCTGTTTCGAAATGTCTGAACTATCACCTACGTTCTACCGTTTTCACATGTCGGTGATTAAATATGGTTTCGAGTGAATGAATATTCTAAATCTTAAAGAAGACAATGTTCATTAGATCCTAGAGATTGGCGCTTCATAATCATAAAGAAAGAACTTTACCAAATAAAACATGAAAAAAACTCTTTCATTACATTAATCCATATAATATCCTACAAGTTTTTAAAGAAACCGTATTCCAAATTTTAACTTCAACAAAACTACAACATAAAACACACATATCCCCGCCTCCACACATGAACATCTATATGCACAAAAGCTGAGTATTATCTACCATGTATTCAATTGTGAAAGCAGAATAACATATATCATATATTTATTACTTCAAAGCTCCCAAGAAAATTAAATTTCAGCATTAAATGACCCATTGACAGGAGTTGATAAACAAATCAATGAATTAGAATCCAGACATGACGAGGTTATTTAATAACATGACCCGAGTTCTTAGGTTAATGTTTTGGTTTCGCAGTTACTGATAGGGTTTGGCGAAACTACACCTAGCGCAGCCTATTCTATGTTCAGTTTCCTTATCTCCAATACTAAACTTGTTATAACTGATCCGTGCAGATAAGTATCTAAAATGTTTAAATCTTAATAATTCCAAATTCAGAATATTTTATGATGGATATAGGCTATGGACTATCATTGCTTTATTCAAATTCCAGATCATAGTTTTTGTTATGTAGAGGTTTATCATACGTTCCACGTCTTGGAACACTTGCTAAAGAATGTTAGGCGTGTTCCTATTAGGTAGAGTCTAAAGTATTTTCCATCTGGAGGAACCAATTGTAGTGACGGGTATATCATCCTAACTGACCGTTCCTTAAGTACAAGATTCATCAAAAAGTATCGGGACTGTTGCTATAGTAACGGAGATAAAGTATGACGATTGAATAAGTTATAAGTCATAACATTCTCGCCTACTTCCGTTGTTTATAGCAATGTATAGGGAAAGTGTGTAGTGTATGGTTGTTTCATCACACCGCAGAGGTTCTATCAGTGCACCAGTTTTGGCCAAGAACCACATTCCCCAGGTCCAACAGCCACCCTATTCTCCAGATCTCGTCCCTTGAGACATTTCCCTCTTCAAAAATCAAATCCCACTTGAAAGGTACAAGATTTCAAGATACCCTGGAAATGAAAGAGAATGCGACGAGGCAGCTTCTCGCTAACCCAAAAAGGAGTTTTAAGAATTCTTCGATCAATGGAAATGAAGCTGGTGTATGACTTCAGAGAGTCTACTTCAAAGGAGATTAAATGCCGAATTGATATATGTTGTAGTTTTCTTTTTATAGCGCCAGTTCCGATATTTATTGATCAGACCTCATATATCATAAATGGCGAGAAAAAATGTGTTACATACGACAAAATTTAACGCAAAAGGTAATAAACTAACAAGGATAGATATCCACAATCGACGCCCCCCGCACCCCACCACCTAAAAAAAAACTGACTGCCATTGAAGAAAGTTAATATTTGTTCAAGTGGTGGGATCGTCGATGTTTTATTCATTTAGAGTTTTTAAAACGTAAGGAACCACTAAATGTACAGAAGCTATAACGTGTGCATAAAAGCTTGGTCGAAAAGCGCCTTGTGTTAGTCAATAGGAAGATCGTTGTTCTTTACTATGAAAACGGATGACTGTAGTCTTACGGTCATATAGCGATGAAATACCGGTTCTCGTACGATCATCAAAGTTAAGCAAGGTCGGGCCATGTCAGCACCTACATGGGTGACCAATGGGGAAACCAGATGCTTTATGCTTGGATTTACGGATGGTGTAATAGATAATGGCTCGGTATTGTTAATAAGAGAGCCGAATATCAATTCCCTTCGAGTTCATTATATTCAATTACGCGCAAATACTCTTGAGAAAAGTATGAGTCCACCTTTTCTCCCCCCAGCTATGGATTAATTAGTAAGGATTGTGTCACTAAAACCGATATTATCTAAAAAAAAAATTCTTACGATCTAAAAATATTTTCTGGCTTTAAATAATCTGCAAAGGGCTGATAAGCCGTAGAAAATGAATCGATCAATGAAATACTGATTAGATACATAGACATGTTTTTAGATTTAGTTACATTCTCTGGTATATAGATATATATAAACTACCGTGGCCACAAAGTGAGGGATCAGTGTATATAGTGATTGTGATATAGAATTGATCCTTCAAATTATGTCCACATTATAATTTCTCGTTTAAGAAATTCTTATATGTTATAAATCCAACATCTCTTTTCAACTATGGGCTAATTAGTATTATCATTATTGTTAAAAAGAAAATTACAATCTAAAAATATCTTCTGGCTTTAAATAATCCACAAAGGACTGATAAGCCGTAGAAAACGAATCGATCAACTCAAACAAGAATAGCACAGAAGAAATTCTGGAACTAATTTGCTTTATTCTAGTCTCTGGTAAGTGGCAACAAATCATTGCAAATAATAGTGAATATATAACTTAATAAAATGTAATTGTACTTTATATGTATTTTGAAGGATAAAGTTGATAAACAAAAGCGGGAATTATTTGTCTCAACATCATATTTCCTTAGTTTGAATTATGAGCACACATAGAGTGTAAAGGTCGCCCAACCGTGGAGCAATGATTACTGAGTTATTCATGATAACCACTACACTTATAGTGAATTCACTGGGTACCTCACATGTGTAAGTTTTGTGCTGCATTTAACTTAACTAAGGAAATGTCAGAACAAACGAAAGCAATTTAAATGATAAAAGAAAGGCTGAATTTCTGCCCGTCATACACTGCGTGTGATATTGCATAAGCGTATATAATGTGTATGTTTATGTCTGTGTTGTACGCGAGTAACCTGCATGTGCAGTTGCCATTTAAGCACACGCACAAACCACACACATTTTGATTGACAAAGACATTGGAATGTACATCCTCCTTCACTCAGTCTGAACAACCCTTACTCTGGGCTGAGCAATAAAATCATTAAGTTGGAATAATACATTCCTCACCCACTCAATCTGGGTAACCATTACTCTGGGCTAAGCAATAAAATAATAAAAACTTGAGTAAAATATTCCTCTTCCTCTCAGTCTGGATCACTCTTACTCTAGGCTGAACAATAAAATCATAATGTTGGAATAATACATCCTTCAGACACTCAGTCTGAACAACCCTTACTCTGGGCTGAGCAATAAAATCATAAAATTCGAATGATACATTCCTGTCTCACTCAGTCTGGACAACCCTTATTCTGGATTGAACAATAAAATCATGATTCGAATAATACATACCACCTCCACTCAGTTTGGACAGCCATTACACTGGTCTGAACAATAATAACATAAAGTTGGAATAATACGTTTCTCTCCCACTCATTCTGGACAACTCTTACACTCAGCCGAGAAATAAAATCATAAGTTGGAATAATACATTTCTTTTCCATTTGTTCTGGACAGCCCTTATTTTGGACTGAGTAATAAAATCATAAAGTTGGAATAATACATTTCTATCCCACTATGTCTGGGCAGCTATTACACCGGTATGAGCAATAATATCAAAAATTTTGAATAATGCATTTCTCTCCCACTAAGTATGGACAATCTCTACTCTGGGCAGAGCAATAAAATCATAAAGTAAGTGACAAAAAAAAAAAAAAAATATCACAAACAAAAATTCTTTAATATTTTAAACATTAAAAAAATCAGATAATTATAAGATGTTACAGAACTTTTCTGTAATAGTTAAATTTTTTGTTAATAAAAACCATTTAAAGCTTTCTTTTTTAATTTTGTAGAAATGTTTTTTATGTCTTTCAATACATTGAAATATACATACACACGCGCAAACGTACATACATGCACTATTTGAATGAAAATTAAATGTACGTCTGTGCAATGAGGCTTAATTTCCGTTTCTGTTTAATAAAACGCCATAAGTAACAGGAAAATAATATGAGCCAATCTTTTGAAGTCTTTTTTGTAACTGAATATATTTTCTAATAAATGTAGCATTTTAATTTAGATTTGAAATTTGATCATCTTGCCGTTGACGAAGCGACAGTTACCGAACTAGTTAGTAACAGACCTTTTTTATTTACTGTTAGTTCATCCAATGTAAGGCCCAAGTGCTACTCAAGGTAGAGGGTTACCGAATGAGACTATAAATGTTAGGGTGTATGAAGAAAGAAATGCATATTATGAAGACTCGTAGGATAGGTATCATTGGACCCTGGTGTTAAAGAGACCGAGACTGTAATTGTCAAGAAAGCATCGTCTGTTCTACAAAACAACAATTCTGCGAATGATGCTGTCTGTGTGAAACTTGCTCATTATTAAAGAAGCACAAAGGCAATGTGAACATGAAATGGCGGATACTAGCTGTGAAGGTCTGAACTGGTGAAACTAAGGAGTGTAACTCGCCCAAGCCATAGTAATAGCGATAGAGTAGCGAGAGTCTAGTAACCTTGGGGAACAACCACCCACAAGTCCGCGTAAGCACTTTGGAACTCTATGTTGGACAGTGAGGATTGAGAAGTACCAGTTCAGATATGGTAGCAATACCCTATTCTTGGCCTGATCTGACTCTTGTGAAGATAGAGCATGTCAGAAAGAGTTTGGTATTTTCTGGAGGAATTCAAGGAACCGACCATTCTTGCAGTATTTTTGATGGTATTTTACTCACCATCAATGCATTACTCCCTGTCAGGGGTCCTTACCTATAACTACAGAATGAACTCTTCCTAGCACTATGTATACTACGCCTCTCAAGAGAGAGGGTCGAATCAAGCCGAGCTTCTCGACTTGACGGTCGAACTCTCTGCTTTTGAGCAGAAAGGAACCCGGACGAGGTTCCGCCGAAGGGCAGAATCTCGTTCGGGGTGAATGACCTACCCTGATCTCGTTTTTACGAGTTATACGGGCATATTTTTGGCTGAGCCTACGGGCTCAGGAAACCCACGATAAAAACGACCTTGTGTCACATGCAACCCTCGTGGGGGGGTGGCTAGATACTGAATCAAGCCGAGCTTCTCGACTTGACGGTCGAACTTTCTGCCTCTGAGCAGAAAGGAACCCGGACGAGGTTCCGCCGAAGGGCAGAATCTCGTTCGGGGAGAAATGACCTACCCTATCTCGTTTTTACGAGTCATACGGGCATATTTTTGGCTGAGCCTACGGGCTCAGGAAACCCACGATAAAAACGACCTTGTGTCACATGCAACCCTCGTGGGTGGGTGGCTAGATACCGAATCGAGCCGAGCTTCTCGGCTTGACGGTCGAACTCTCTGCCTCTAAGCAGAGAGGAACCAAGACGAGGCTTCCGCCGAAGGGCAGAGTCTCGTTCGGGGAGGTTGACCAACCCGATCCCTTTTATACCGAATCGGTTCTACGGGCATTTTTTTGGCCGAGCCTACGGGCTCGGGAAACCCACGTTAAACTCGGTCTTGTGCCAGGAAACCCACGCAAAACTCGGTGCCTCGTGGGGTGGCTAGATACCGAAGAGTCGAGCCGATAGTAGTTCACTCCAAACCAGACTGACAGTCATACTAATACCTTCCACATCTTGTATTATTATTTCGTGTAATATACCTTCGTTATTTCTACTATTGTATTCGTGTTGTTCTTCTTTGGTCCTAACCTGGACCATAACACTCCCTAAAATACCATTGTCCGAGGAAATAACATTAAACATGGGGATGTTTATCGATTGCCACATACCTAAGCCTCAACCAGGTTAATGACTGAAATTATTTATCACTTAGCTTTTCTATTTTTAAAGAAGAAATAAAATAGTCTAAGAATTTAGTATATGTCCTGCTTGTCAAAACTAGTTGGCAAATCGACGACTCATCACATTAAAAAATGTTTGTTGGAATGATTCCGATGCCATATTTAACAGTCACATACAAGTCATATTCAACAGTCATTCAACACTCGTATACGACAATCATAGAGAAATAGTCATATAAAACAGTCATAAGTCATATTCAACAATCATAATCAACCGTCGTATACAACAGTCATACAAAACAGTCATATTCAATAGTCATATTCAATAGACATAGTTAACAATCATATACAACAGTCATAATGCACAGCCGTATACAACAGTCATAGACAATACTTATATACAACATATTCAATAGTCATAATGGACGTTCGTATACAACAGCCATAATGGACTGTCGTAGAAAACAGTCATAGACAATACTTATATGCAACTGTCATATAAAAGTCATAATCAACAATCGTATACCACAGTCATAGACAGTAGTTATATACACCAGGAAGTAGGCGATTAGTGTATACCACAAATCCCAAACGTTTTTAGTTATTAGCTAGGATTGTCTTTAGGCTGTCCCCTGCAAACCATTGACACAAGCCCGTTAGCTAAGTTTCTCGATGCTTTCCTCTTGTCTTCATTTTATTCATTGAGGGTTAGATTCTCCAGGATTGTTTAATTAATCACGTGTCTTAGTTATTTCAAATGTCTACACAAGTCATATTCAACATTCGTATGTAAAAGACATCAGTCATATACAACAGTTATATACACGTCTTATTCATTAGCCATATTCAACACTCGTACACACCAATCATAAACAGTAGTCATACAACAGTTTTATTCAATAGTCATAATCAATAATCATAAAAAAGTCATGGACAAACGTGCTCGCAATAAGACGTTGTGCCAAAAGATCGGTTTTCCCATGACACCACCTTTTTTAACTAGCTTCAGTATTTTATTATTTATTTATTATATTATTTATTGGAATGGT